AAGAGGGGAGGGGAGGGGGCGGCTCCAGGCGGCCAGCTGGAGCGGGGGTCCGCCGCAGTCTCCCCCCGCCACGCCTTACCTGCTGCCGGCCGGGGCCTCCGTCGGTCTGGAGGGGGGGCGAGCTGGAGGGACGGGCGGGGGGGGTCGCTGCTGCCGCAGAGAAGCCGGGTGGTTCCCCTCGCGGCCCCGCCCCCGACTCCTGCGTCACTGGGCGGGGCCCCGCCCCGCAGGCCCCGCCCCAGCTCGTCTTCTCCCTTCCCCAAGGCACGCCTTGCTCTGCGGTCGCCAACCTCCCGGTGGCACCTGGAGATCGACGGGGAGGACCGTTGATTTTCCAGGCGATCAAGATCCGTTCCCCTTGGGGGGGAGTGGCTGCTTTGGAGGGCGGACCCGAGGGCGTTACACCCCTGCGGAGGTCGCTCCCTGCCAGTGGTCCCTCTAAGCTGAGTTAGTGTGAGCTAGCTCACAGTTTTTTAGCCTCCGGCTCACACCTTTTTGTCTTCGCTCAGGAAGGAGGGCTCCAGAGCAAACTAATTGATGCGGCAGCCAAATCACCTGCTCACACCTTTAACGCCAGTAGCTCACAAAAGTAGAATTTTTGCTCAGAGGGCTCCATAGCTTAGAGGGAACATTGCCCTCCCCGAGCCAAACCCCGCCTTCTCCAGGCCCCGCCTCCCAGATCTCCAGGTCTTTCCCAACCCTGAGCTGGCAACCGAGGCTCCCTCGAAGCTGTGGAGTCTTGTGAGCAAAAATTGTACTCTGTGAGCGACTGGCGTGAAAGGGGAGGTACTAAAACTAAGGACAGCGATTGCCCATAGGGAATAGATGAGTGCCCATAGAGAATAATGGAGAGTTTGTTGTGGTTCAGTCGCACAGTCGAGTCCGACTCTTTGCGACCCCATGGACCAGATCACGCCAGGCCCTCCTGTCTTCCACCGTCCTCTGAAGTTTGCTCAACTTCATGTTCGTTGCATCGATGACACTGTCCAACCATCTCATCCTTTGCCGTCCCTGTCTTCTTTGACCTTCAGTCTTTCCCAGCATCAGGGTCTTCTCCAGTGAGTGCTCCCTTCTCATTGGGTGGCCAAAGTATTTGAGCTTCAGCTTCAGTATCTGGCCTTCCAGGGAACATTCAGGATTGATTTCTTTTAGGATTGACTGATTTGATCTTCTTGCAGTCCAAGGGACTCTCAAGAGTCTTCTCCAGCACCATAGTTCAAAAGAATCTATTCTTTGGCACTCGGCCTTCCTTATAGTCTAACTCTAGCAGCCATACATGAGTACTGGGAATGCCATTGCTTTGACCATGCGGACTTTTGTTGGCAGGGTGATGTCTCTACTTTTTATCATGCTGTTTAGGTTCGCCATCGCTTTCCTCCCAAGGAGCAGGCGACTTTTAATTTCATGGCTGCTGTCACAGTCTGTGGTGATCTGGGATCCCAGGAACGTGAAGTCTGTCACTACTTCCACGACTTCCCCTTCTATTTGCCAAGGAGTGATGGGGCCGGATGCCATGATCTTAGTTTTTTTATATGTTGAGCTTCAAGCCCACTTTTGTGCTCTCCTCTTTCACTCTGAGCAAGAGGCAGTAGTGATCCATGAGGGGCTCTTTAAAAAGTTATGGCCGCCGCCACCACTTTTGGCGGCAGCTGCAATGGGCTGGCGTGGGGGGCAGGGCAAAACGGGCGCGCGGGGGGTGGCCAAATTTCACCTCTCACGTGTGATGTCTGAGCAGCGTTGCACTCACGAGAGGTCATTCTGGCTCCCCCAGCCCTCGTTAGGGCCTCTTTAAAAAGTTATGGCCGCCGCCACCACTTTTGGCGGCAGCTGCAATGGGCTGGCGTGGGGGGCAGGGCAAAACGGGCGCGCGGGGGGTGGCCAAATTTCACCTCTCACGTGTGATGTCTGAGCGGCAGCCAGGGTGGTGCCACGGCTTGAGGATTAGGCTTTAGACCACAGGTGGGCCTGAGTTCAAATCCCCCTAAACCTTCACTGGGTAAACCTTGGGCCAGTCATTGCAGCGGAGCCAAATTGTTCTGGCAGAGATGTTGTGAAGGTAGAACCAATTGTGCACACCACCCTTAGCTTCATGGAGGAAGGTTAATAAATATATGAGTGTGTGTGTGTTTATTAGAGTTGCCAGCCCTCAGGTGGGGTAAACGAGGGAAAACACCGTGTTAAAACAAAACACACCATTCTGATAGGCTGCTATGCCTTCCTATATTCGTTTAAATCATATCCTTAAAGATACAATCAAGACCCTAGTGTATCTTATTCATTATAGTACATTGATAACAGAAACCTAAAGAACAATATAAATCTTGTAGAAAAGCCCACCGCTGCAGAGACGAATACGCAGACAGGATTCAATGCCGTAGACCAGTGGTGGCGAACCTATGGCACGGGTGCCAGAGGTGGCACTCAGAGCCCTCTCTGTGAGCACACGTGCCATCGCCCAAGCCAGGCCCAGACCATCATTAAAGTGTCGAATTCTCTGCCAAATAATTTTAAGTAAATGAAAGCATTTGGGATTGCTTTCCTTACTTTGTCTGGATCATCTTAAGTTAATGTATGAGTTGTTTTTTCTAAAGCAAAACCTCCGTATTCAGGTTAAATTGCCGTGTTGGCACTTTGCGGTAAATAAGTGGGTTTTGGGTCGCAGTTTGGGCACTCGGTCTCTAAAAGGTATCTTGCTTTCTGATGAGAGATGCAGCAGTCGTCAATGCCAATATTGTTGGCTGTTTTATGAAAAGAGATGCAGCAAGCATCAAAGCAACACGCCTCCCAGGCAAAAGTTGTGTGTTTCAAGAAATTCTTTTTCAGGCAAATTATCTTTCCTGGAACCAAATATATGAAGGCATAGTAGCATATCAGAATTGCGTGCTTTGTTTTAACATGGTGCTTTTCCACGTTTACTCAGCCTTGCCGTGTTTCCCATGTGTTTGTTGCCAAACCTCCAGGTGGGGCCTGGAGACCTCCCAGAATTACAACCAGGGCTATTGTTGTGCAGGAACGCACAGGAACGGAGTTCCGGCTGGCTCCCAAGTTGGCCACGCCAAGCAGGAACTCATTAGCATAATAGGCCACACCCAACAGCAGAAACTCATTTGGATTGGCTACAATTAGGGGGGTTTGGCCTAACATGCAAAAAGCCCTGGGTTTTGACAACAAACAAGGTAAACAGAATAACAAGCAAAAGGTGGGTGTGGCTGGATAACGACACTTCTGGTAACATGGGGGTGTGGCCTAATGTGCTAATGAGCTGTGCTGTCAGGGGTGTGGCCCAATATGCTAATGAGGTCCTGCTGTTGGGTGTGGCCTATTATGCTAATGAGTTCCTGCTGGGCTTTTTCTACAAAAAGAGCCCCGGGACAACTGATTCTCCGGACAATGCAGTGCCCTTGGAGAAAGTGGCAACTTTGGAGGGAGGACTCTACGGTGTCATACCCCACTGCGGTCCCTTCCCGCCCCAACCCAGAGCTGGCAATTGTAGTACCCATGCAGAGAGGCATACAAACACAGGCGGGCATCTAACTGCTGACACGCAAGTAGACAAGAGGCCACAGTAACACACGGAAGGCATCGTTAATCTCGGCTGCCCAGCAAGTTTAATAAGACCCTTCTGAGTCAAAACCCTGGCCCAAACGTCCTCCCCAACGCCCCAGGTGAGGAAAACAGGGAAGGTGCGTAAAGAAGGTCTTTTCTGGAGGAACACAACATGGGGAATTCACAGTCCCTTGGGTCCTAGCTGAAATACGGCAGAGCTCTGAAAGCAAGACGGAGGAGAACCGGCAGAGGCCAGGAAAGGAAGCCAAGATTTCGCAGCAGGCCGTGGGTCGGGAGTTGTCCGTAGGGCACGATAGCGGCTTTGGGTGTGTCGCTTTCCTTGGCGGGGGGTGCAGACGTCCTCAGCCGAGCTCTGGGTCTGCAAGAGCAAAAAGGCATCGCTGGAATTTATCGTTTCTGCTGCTGCCCAAGGAGGCGGGCTCAGGCCATCCGGTCGGGGGGCTCCCAAAAAGGGGAGCGCTCTGACCTGGACGGCCCACACCAGCCCTGTCTCATCAGACCTCAGAAGCTAAGCGGGGTTGACCCCGGTGAGCGCCTGAATGGGAGACCACTGAAGGAGTCTGGGATTGCTAGGCAGAGGCAGACAATCGCAAACCACCCCTGTTCGTCTCGTGCCTTAAAAACCCGAAGGCAGGGGTGTCAAACATGAGGCCCGGGGGCCAGAAGCGGCCCGTCCAGGGCTCTCATGCGGCCCGCGAGCAACTGGTGCAAGGAAGGGAGTGCTGGGGGAGTGGGCGGAGCCATTCCACTGTGGCTTCAGCACGGCAGAGCAACCTTGTCTGCAGCAGTCAAGCGGCGTGGGAGCATCTGCCCTGCACGGCACTCCTGCCTCTACAGTTTGCCTAGGTGGGTTTTCCTCTGCACCCCCCCCCCACCCAGCCCATGGGGGCCTTGCAGTGAGGATACACCAACTCGGAGCTTACCAGCTGCTGTCCCTTTATACAGTTTCTAACTCCGGTGCCTGGCATTACGTTTTATGGCACACATGGCCCGGCCCAATAAAGTGACATTTATGTCAGATCCGGCCCTCATAACAAATGAGTTTGACACCTCTGCCCTGAGGGGTCATGATAAGTCTCCAGGGGTCATTTCCTGCGGGAGCGCACAGGAGCGGAGCTCCGGCAGTAAGGAGCCCAGGGGGCGGGCACATGCAACAAGCCCCACCCCCTGCTCCCAGCAGCCCTCAGTTGGGCCACAAGGAGCAAGAAGCAGCCAGGTAAGTTGCAGATCCCCCCCCCCGGCCCGCCTTCAGGTACAAGCTCTCCCTCCTCTGTGAGGGCAGATCTGTGCGTTCCCCCCCCCCCATCGCTAGCAATCCAAAACAGTCCAGTGGCACCTTTAAGACCAAGTTTTTTTCAGGTACAAGCTCTCCCTCCTCTATGAGGACAGATCTACACGTCCCCACCCCTCAATAGCTAGCAATCCAAAACAGTCCAGTGAAGCCTGAGCGGTGGGTGTGCCTTCTGGCACACTTCCGGTGATGTCAGGGGGTGGGGCATATGCAAATAAGTTGTGCTAATGAGTTATGCTAATGAGCTCTTGCACCTCTTTTTCTACGAAATGACCCCTGGTTGTGACCAGGGTTCCTTCTAAGCTGTGGAGTCTTGTGAGCAAGAATTCTACTTTGTGAGCGACTGGCATTAAAGTTGTGAGTGAATGATTCGGCTGCTGCATCGATCGGTTTGCTTTGGAGCCACCCTTTCTGAGCGAAGACAAAAGATGCGTGAGCCGGAGGCGAAGAAACTGTGAGCCAGCTCACACTAACTGAGCTTAGAGGGGACACTGGTTGTGGACTTGGGCCACACTTTCCACCCCCAAAGGGGAAGCGGGCACCGTCTGGATTTTGTGCCTCAAGGACCTGGCTTCATCGCCACGCTCCTCACCCTTGGGAGAGTTGAGGACCCCACCCACGCCCGAGCTGGACTCACCCTGCTCCGACCCCATTTCTGCCTTGTAGGTTTTGTAGGCGTCGAAACAGAAAACAGCTACGAGGATCAGGCTGAAGACCTGGGGGAAGGACAAAGATGGTGAAAGGCACAATAATAATACTTTCAATGTTCATAGGGGATAGGGACGACAACATATATTCATTTAATTGCACACGCTGTCGCTGCACGGTGTAAACGTCTTCTGGCTTGGCTCAGTCATTTTCCGAACGGCTGCTTGCCGACCAGGCTTCAGGACCCGTATGTCAAATCGCCACACTGCCACCGCCTGGCCGGAAACATCCACTGCAGGGATTTTTTTAGCCGAGAAGTTCTTCCGCTTTTTCCGAACCTCGACCAGGACGTCCCGACCGTCAGCTAACACCCTCCCACAAAGGAGATTGGTGCGCCCACCCTCTCTAAGGAGCAAGGAGAGAGTCTCTCTACCTCCCAAATGTCCTAGGCTGGGCCAAATCTTTCCTGGTCACTGAGTCCCAACAAGAAACCAGGAGCCAGGCTGGCCTGATCCCGTCGGATCTCGGAAGTTAAGGAGGGTAGGCCCTGGCTAGTATTCAGAAGGGTGACTTCTGAGGAATACCAGGGCTGTGAGAGGCAGGCAATGGCAAACCACCTCTGAAATATCCCTTGCCTTGAAAAACAAGTCTAGTTCACCACCTAGTGGTGCGTAACGCTAAAGGAGCTAGAACTTCTGGCTGCCAGACAATCTTAGGATCTCCCAGCTATTCTCCACACACTGCCATACGATAAAAATAACTGGGAGGCAGGATAGCGTGTGTATTTACTTCAAAAGATACACCCCATTTTTTCACCAAGTTCAAAGCGATGACGACAGGACTACAAACCACCAAACTGGCAAGCCTTCTTCCGACTACAGAAGTTTGCTATCGATTCCAGCTTCCCTTCCAGACGCTCGGATTCCAAAAGGGGGAGGAGCTTCCCAAGGGGCGAGGCCAGGAAGGGAACTTATACAGGGAGAGAAGGTGGTCACTCACAAAGGCAGATACGGCAGACCCCTCGTGACTGGCGGCGATGACCGCAAAGGCCACGACGATGAAGACAATCGCAGCACTGACGCAGCGAAGGAAGTCCTGCGTTGGAAGAGAGAACAGTCCCTCCAGTTTCCAATATATAGGACAGGTGGACTCCCATTCTAGCTGTACCCGAAGAAGTGAGCAGTGACTGACCAATTCTCCCCCCTACCACAAATTTTGAGTCTTTAAGGTGCTCCTGGACTCTTGCCCATCTTGATCTGTCTCCTCTTGATTCTCCAGTCCTCCACATGCAGCTGCTGGGTGACCTTGGGCAAGCCACCGTTCACTCGGAGCTGTTCTCTCAAGAGCAGTTCTCTCAGGGCTCTCTCAGCCCCACCTACCTCACAGGGTATCCGTTGTGGGGAGAGGAAGGGAAGGATATTGTCAGCCGCTCTGAGACTCCGAGGGAAGGGCGAGGTATAAATCCAATCTTCTCCTCCTCCTCCTCTTCTTGTGAGGTAGGGTTAGGCCAAGATGATGTGATCCTCCCAAGGTCGCCCAGCAAGCTTCCATGGCAAAGTGGGGATTCGAATCTGGTTCTCCCAGATCCTGATCTGACAGTCTTAACATCTACACCACACAGTGTGAGAGCCGTGGCTGCGAAATGGCAAAATCCAATCCCCGGGAGAGCCATCGGCCTCGCTGAAATGGGTACAGACAGCCACTGTGCTTCAGCACCTGAGGCAGATCTGTCTCTGCAGAATGCTCTTTCGTGCGGTTCGGTCCACCCTACCCCTTTTCCAAGAAGGACGGAGGCCAGTGTGATCGACAACCGCCAAAAAAAAGAGGCTGAAACAGGGAAGGGGAGAGTTACCCACCAGGCAGGGCCAGTTGACGCGGGTCAGGCGCTCGTAGTAGTGGGTGGCACGCAGCCCCAGGAACGCCAGCGTCACCAACACTTCCAGCAGGGCAGCACCCATGTACGCCGAAATGGACGCGGTCAGAAGCAGGAACACCAGGAAACAGAGGCCCTGGGGCACGGGGGGAGGCAACGAAGACGGGGTGAGCAGAACAGTTATGGGGGCGGGGGGGTGAACACACGGAGCTGCTGTCCCGTCTAGCTCAGCGCCCTCCTATCGACAGCGACCGACCAGGGACTCCGAAGAGAAAGGCCTTGCCCAGTTCCTGTGACCTGAATTCCCCTGGGGGCACCTTTGGAATTCTGACACAGTGGCGGGCGCCGCCACAAAATGGCTGCCGCAGGAGGCAGAGCCCACCACAAAATGGCTGCCGCAGGAGGCAGAGCCCGCCACAAAATGGCTGCCACAGGAGGCAGAGCCCATCACAAAATGGCTGCCGCAGGAGGCAGAGCCCGCCACAAAATGGCTGCCGCAGGAGGCAGAGCCCACCACAAAATGGCTGCCGTGGCTTTCCTTCAGTCACACAGTGAAGATACGTGTGCTATTGGGGGCAGTTGCTGTGACGTAACATATTTTTAAAATCTGCACAACTAATCAAATTTCCAGTGGGCACTCAGGAGCCTTGCTGGGCAGAAGCCTCACCTGGCCACACCCGCTTCTTACAAACAGACACCACGAAAGGTGTGGGTGGGTGGGTGCCCTGGAGCCCACGGGCACCCTGTTGGGGACCCCCACCCTAGGTGGAAATTGCAGGGGGGGCCTTGAACCTGGGGCTTGTGTGAGCAAAGAAAATGTGCTACCACTGAGCCACAGTCACACAAACACGGTAGCAGCCATGCAGGATCAGACCAATGACCCGTTCAGTTCAGCCTCACGTTTCCAACAGTGGCCAGTCACTCGCCCCAGGGAACAGGCCAGTAGCCAGGATTTTTAAATTCAGGGGGGCTTTAAGTAAGTCGAGGGGCACCCTGCACCCCAAGGGAGCACCACAAATAAAATAAAAAGTTGGAAGTCGGTGGACCTGGGCTGGATGGCTAGTCAGGGGGCCTTTGGCGGTAAGTCGGGGGGCTGTGCCCCAAGAGGCCGCACTGTAGCTACAGGCCTGCCAGGGAAGCCCCTTAGCAGGGCCCACACAGACTACAGCCCTGGCTTACGCTGCCTGCCCCCCCAGGGTCTGGCGATCAGAGCCATTCTGCCCCCCGTCCCGACTTCCGGCAGCACACCCTCCTGCAGTAAATATATCCTGCCTCTTTTGAAATCCATCTAAGCCAGCGGCCATGGTCACATCCAGTGGCACTGAGTTCCGCAAGTCAGCCTTGTGTTGTACGAAGCAGAGCTTCCACTCGTTCGCCTTGAATCTACTACCCACCAGCTTCATCGGGTGACCCCAAGCTCTCTATCCTGGGACAGAGAGAAAGGTGGTTTTTTTCTTCTACACCACAGTGTAACTTTGTAAATCCTGGCCTGTTACTCCTGGGTTGCCTTTTTTAAAAACTAAACTAAAAGGAGCTGTGGTGGCTCAAGTGGTTACGACGCAGAACTGCAGGCTGTGGAAGGTCGGTAGTTCAGCAGTTCGAGACCCGAGTGTGCTGCATGACGGAGTGAGCTCCCGTCTCTAGTTCCAGCTCCTGCCAACCTAGCCGTTCGAAAGCAAGAAACTGCAAGTATAACAGCATTCCATGCACCTTGGTGTTTAGTCATGCCGGCCACATGACCACGGAAATGCCTTCGGACAGCACTGGCTCTTCAGCTTTGAAACTGAGATGAGCACCGCAACCCTAGAGTCGGATTCAACTTGCTTTCGAGCAAGGGAACCTTTAAAAGGCCACAGCTGTTTCAGCAAGTGCTTCCTCCTAGGACTGGTGTTCCCAGCCCCCAATCAGCCCTTTCCCAAATTCATGATTTTGGGTCCCTGATGCGGAATTCTTTCCTGCCTGGCTGCATGGACAGATAGAGCACAGCCCTCCTCTTTGGACTCCATTCCCGAGGGCACAACGGGTTTATTTAAAGCCTTTATTAGCCACCTTTCTACCTACAGGGAACTCAAGGAGGTTTGCAGCACAAACACTGAAAAATAACGTTGGTCTCCAACTCCACCTGCCCAGAAATTACACCTTCCATTGAGGCAAAGAGATCCAGACCGACACCTCGATATTGCAAACGAGAAATCCCATTTCTTTGCTGGAAAAGAGCGTGGAGATCTCTCTCCTTGTCCGCACCGTTCTTGGGAAGGCAGCTCTGGAAGGTTTTTAACGGCGGCCCACGACACCCTCCCTAATTTCCTTCACTTTGGAAGAAAGTTCGAAGGCTCTTCCCAACCGTCCACCAGAGCTAGGGTTGCCAACTTTGTCTTGGGAAACCCCTGGCGATTTGGAGCTCTAGCCTGGAGTAAGTGAAGTTTGGGAAGGGGGAGAGAGACCTCAGCGGGTTATAGTATCGCAGAGTCCACCCTCCAAAGAAGCCATTTTCTCTGGGGGAACTGAGCTCTCTCATCTGGAGTTCAGTTTTAGGGTTGCCACCGGTGGGGGACAGAGGGGGACAGAGGCTACCAGATTCAAGTTTTGAAACTCCTGGAGATTTGGGGATGGAACCCGAGAAGGACCAGGACCTCAGTGGGGGACAATGCCATAGACTCCGCCCTCCAAAGCATCCATTTCCTCCAGGGGAACTGATCTCTGTAGTCTATAACTTGGGGGGGGTGATTCTCCAGGTCCCACCTGGAAGCTGGCATCCCTAGCTAATTCTGGGGGAGCCCCAGATGCCACCTGGAGGTTGGGTACCCGAGTAACCCCCCCCCAAAGCACCCAAGCCCTGGACCCCTGCACTTGGGGCTGGCCCTTTCAAGACACCAGCCCAGACGGATCCCCAACGCTCCCTCTAAGCTGTGGAGTCGTGTGAGCAAAAATAGTACTTTGTGAGCTACCGGCATTAAAGTTGCGAGCGAGCCATTTGGCTGCTGCGTCGATTCACCTGCTCCGGAGCCATCCTTCCGGAACTGAGACGAACACCTGTGAGCCGGAGGCTACAAAACTGCGAGCTAGCTCTCACTGACTCAGCTTAGAGGGAGCCCTGATCCCAACCAATGCTCCCTCTAAGCTGTGGAGTCTACTTTGTGAGCTCCTGGCATTAAAGTGGTGAGCGAGCCGTTTGGCTGCTGCATAAATTAGTTTGCGCTGGAGCCCCATCCTTCCTGAGCGAAGACAAAAATGTGTGAGCTGGGGGCAAAAAACTGTGAGCTGGCTCACACTGACTCAGCTTAGAGGGAACACTGATTCCCAACTCCAGGACAGGGGGAAGGCAGGGGAAGGACAGGAGGGGAAAGAAAGGTGTTGGCCGCAATGCTCCCTGGGAGCAAAAATTCAACTTTGGGAGCAGGGCCGGCCCCAGCTTATTTTGCACCCTAGGCGAGGATCCCTTCTGCCCCCCCCCCATGCGCCCACCATTTTTCAAAAATAAATGCATTTTAGAAAGAATGAAAAACACAAATAATCAAGAAACTCCCACAGTATGGGGCCGGGTGCAGTTTGGTGCCCCTAAGGGCCAGCCCGCTCTAGGCGATCGCCTAGTTCGCCTAGTGAGTGAGCCGGCCCTGTTTGGGAGCTACAGGCGTTAATTTGGCTGCGGCATCAATCCGTTTGCTCCGGAGCCCTCCTTCCAGAGCGAAGGCGAAAATGCCAGAGCCGGAGGCTGAAAAGCTGTGATTTAGCTCACACTAACTCAGCTTAGAGGGAACACTGGTGGTGGTGGTGGAGGGGGGGGAGATCGCCTGGTGGGAAACCTGCCAGGGAAAGGGAAACTATCCAGCCGGGAAAGGGGCAGCTTGGAGGAAGGGGGAAGGAAGAAAGGGAGGAAAGAG